ATTTCTGATTTTGTTAATTTACATGTTCTCTCTCTTCCTTTTGATTAATTTGGATGAGGGTTTATCTTTCTTGTTGATTTTCTCAAAGAACCAACTCTTTATTTCATTGATTCTTTGTATTGTTTCCTTTGTTTCTACTTTATTGATTTCAGTCCTCAATTTGATTGTTTCTTGGCATCTACTCCTCCAGGGTGAGTTTGCTTTTTTTTGTTCTAGAGCTTTCAGATGTGCTGTTAATTCTCTAGTGTAACTATTCTCCAGTTTCTTTATGTGGACATTTAGTGCTATGAACTTTCCCCTTAGCATTGCTTTCAATGTGTCCCATAAGTTTGGGTATGTTGTATCTTCATTTTCATTGAATTCTAGGAAGTCTTTAATTTCTTTCTTTAATTTTTCCTTGACTCAGGAGTGATGCAATTGCATATTGTTCAATTTCCATGGGTTTGTAGGGTTTTTGCACTTTGTGTTGTTGTTGAATTATAACTTTAAAGCATGATGATCTAATAAGATACAAGCAGTTATTCCAAATATTTTTGTATCTATTGAGGTTTGCTTTGTTGCTGAGTATGTAGTAGATTTTAGAGAAGGTTCCAAGTGGTGCTGAGAAGAAGGTATATTCTTTTGTATTTGGATGGAAAGTTTTATACATGTCTGTTAAATCCAATTGTGTCATAACTTCTGTTAGTTCCTTTGTTTCTTTGTTAAGTTTCTGTCTGTTAATCCTGTCTAGTGGTGAGAGTGGGGTGCTGAAGAATCCCACTATAAGTGTGTGGGGTTTTATGTGTGATTTGAGATTTATTAATATTTCTTTTATGAATGTGGGTGCCTTAGTATTAAAGGCATAGATGTTCAGAATTGATACTTAATCTTGATGGGGTTTTCCTATGATGAATATGAAATGTCCTTCTTCATCTCTTTTGATTAATTTTAGTTTGAAGTCTATTTTGTTATACATTCAATAGCTTCACCACCTTGTTTCTAAGAACCATTTGATTGGAAAATCCTTTCCCATCCTTTAACTCTGAGGTAACCTGTGTCTTTGTAGTTGAGGTGTGTTTCTTGTATGCAATCAAAGGATGGATTCTGTCTTTGTATCCATTGTGTTATCCTGTGTCTTTTTTATTAGTAAGTTAATACCATTGATACTGAGGAATATTAATGATTATTGATTGTTGATTCTTGTTTCTTTTTTATTTGTTTTTGGTGGTGGTATTTTGTGTGGATTTCCCCTTTTGTTTGGTTTTGGTTTTGGCTTTTGATAATGTGCGATCATTGTTGCCTATGTTTTTGTGGGTATAATTAACTTCCCTGAGTTGGAGTTTTCCTTCCAGTACTTTCTGTATGGCTGGATTTGTGAATATATATTGTTTAAATCTGTCTGTCGTGGAATATCTTGTTTTCTTCATCTATAGTGATTGAAAACTTTGCTGGGTATAATAGTTTGGAATGACATACATGATCTCTTAGTGTTTGTAGAATATCTATCCAGGACCTTTTAGCTTTCTGAGTTTCCATTGAGAAGTCAGGTGTAATTCTGGTAGGTCTGCCTTTATATGTTACTTGGCCTTTTTCATTTGCTGCCTTTTATTCTGTATGTTTGGTGTTTTGATTAGTATGGGGTGAGGGGACTTTTTTCTTTTTGGTCCAGTCTATTTAGTATTCTGTAAGCTTCTTTCAGTTTCATAGTCATGTCTTTCTTTAGGGTTGGAAAGTTTTCTTCTATGATTTTGCTGTGTAGGAAGAAACATTAGGACACCAAACTGTAACGATAAACAACACACTTGATGTGGGTATAGGTAACTATAGAAAACTGGCAACCAAGGTGAATCAACAGCTTTCACTACAGGACCAAAAGCTCAAAAGAGAGCATGCATCTCCTACACCACCTTTTATTACCACCTCTGTATGCACCTCTAGCCACACTCAAAGTGGGCATGGCTAGCGGCGCAGTCCTAATGTCTCTTCCTACAAATTGCTGCATATGTTTTCTGCACCTTTCAGCTGCACTTCTTTGCCCTCTTCTATACCTATCATTCTTAAGTTTGGTCTTTTCCCAGTGTCTCATATTTCCTGGATAGTTTGTGTTAAGGATTTATTTGACTTAAGATTTTCTTTGGTCGATGAATCTATTTCACCTGAGATTCTGTCTTCCATCTCTTGTATTCTATTGGTTGTGCTTGCATCTGTAGTTCCTGATCATTTACCCAGATTTTCCATTTCCAGCATTCCCTCAGTCTGTGTTTTCTTTAACTGTTTGATTCGTTTCCTTCATCTATTTGATTGTTTTTCTCTTGGGTTTTCTTGCTTTCTTTACAAAATTTGTTGATTTCTTGCATTTTTTATTTGTCTTTTCCTCCATTTGTTTGTTTGGGTTTTTTCTTCCATTTCTTTAAGGGATTTTCTCATTTCCTCTTTGAGAGTCTCTATCATCTTCATAAGTTGTTTTTAAGGTGTTTTTCTTTTGCTTCATTTGTGTTGGGATGTTTAGGTCGTGCTGGTAAAGAATCCCTAGACTCTGGTAGTGTCATATTAAACTTCCTGTTGTTGAATGTGTTCTTATACTGTCGTCTTCCCATAGCTTCTTTCAGTGGGTACAGGTGGTGGGGTCTCTCCCTCTTCTGGTGGGTATGAGTCCAAGACTCCATTGACAGCAGATGTCAGATGGTTCTCTCTTCCAGTGGGTGCCTGTCCAAGATAGGAATGGCGGCAGATGCTGGATGGCTGGGTCTGCCTCCTGGTCTCTCTGCGAGATTTAGTGGTGAGATGGGACTGGGGGCCACATTTCAGGGGATTCAAACAGGGAAAGCTGGGCAGGAAATGGCCCAGCACTCACTTCTTCCAGTGGGTGCCAATCCATGATTGGGATGGCGGCAGATGCTGGATGGTTGGGTCTGTCTCCAGGTCTCTCTGGAGGTTTGGTGGAAGGACATGATTGGGGGTCACATTTTAGGGGCTCAAACAGGGAAAGCTGGGCAGGAAACGGCCAGGTACTCACCTTTCCCTGTGTGTACTGTTCCAAGACTGGAATGGCAATGGCAGCAGATGCTGGATTAGGAATGTCCATTTTATTTGTAGACATTTATGTGAGATGTAGAATTATGCAGTGACTAGAAAGTTTATCTACTATACAGGGGTAAATATGAGAAAGGTCAAGGAAATGCAAAAAGAAAATAAATCGACAATAATATATCAGTTGTTTTAGTTAGGATTTCTATTGCTGTTAAGAGACACCATGACCATGGCAACTCTTATAAAGGAAAATATTTTATTGAGGTGGCAGTTTACAGTTTCAGAGGTTTTGTCTATTGGCAGCTGGGAGTATAGTGTCCTGCAGGCAGATGTGCTGCTGGAGAAGGAGTAGAATATTCTACATCTTGATTCAAAAGCAAGAGGAAGTGAACTGAGACACTGGGTATGGCTTGAGCATATGTGAAACACTGAAGCCCACCCCTATAGTGACACACTTCCTCCAACAAGGCCATACATACTCCAACAAAGCTATATTCCCAATAGTGCCATTCTCCATGAGCTTATGGGGGCCAATTCAAACTTCCAGTGTACAAAGAAGAAAGTATTTTAAGATAGAGGCATAGTCAGGAACTTTCTGGAAAAGACTTCAGTGGCACAGGAAACAAACCAAATAATTGACAAGTAGCATCACATGATAATAAAAGCTTCTGTACTGCAAAGGAAACTATCAGTGAGAAGCAGTCCGCAGAATGGGAGCAAACCTTGGCTAGACCTAGAATATATAAAAACTTAAAATTAAAAAATCTTCCCATAAACGGATGGCTGAATGAGTTTAAAGATCGTTTCCAAAAGAAGAAACACACATGGTTAATAAATATTTTTAACTGGTTTTCAACATTCTTAGTTGTGGAGATACAAATTACAGTATCTCACCCCATTCATAATGGCTCACATTAAGAAAACTATGGTGACAGATACTGGTGAGGAAGTGGAGAAAGGGGGATTCTTATGCATCATGAGTGGGTATATAAACTAGTCCAGCCACCATAATGGAGGCCTCTCAAGAAACTAAAAATAGAACTGCCATATAACCTAGCTATACTGGTTCTGGATACTTTCCCAGTATAATCATTTTTAATTAGCAAACTATATAATTATGAAATTAATTTGTTGTTTCTAAGTCCTCAGTATATATACATCATTAATAATATATGAGTAAAGGTCATACACCTTTCTTAACTCCGCTGATTAGTAGTCTAGAAATATAAACATCAAAGATATGTTCTTAATTTTGGAAAAATTCTATGCTTCATTTATGAGACTGACACACTGTCTATTGTGCTAAGAGGGCCTTCTATGCTTCATTTAGAATGCTTTCTAGGCAGAAAATATATTTTAAAGATCTACAAAATCTTAGTGAATTTAATATATGAATTGACATTTTAATTTAATTCGTGGTAAAGTGAAGTAGTCTAAAAAGTAACATATAGTAAACTGAAGTATGGTAATAGGTTACAGAACAATGAATTTCAAAATCCAAGGAAGGTTCTATATTGTTAATTTTCTTCTTCTATGCATTTTTCCCTTTGTTGAAACAGGGTCTTATGTAGCCAGGTTGCCCTGGAATTCATTTTGGAGACAAGGCTGATGTCAATATAGCCTATCTCTTTCTTCTGTGTCAACATACTGGGCCTCTTTAGCAGTTTAAGAATTTTGCAAAGTTCTTAGATCTATAAGCTCTTTTTTATGCCTAGAGTTAGTTTTCATTCAGCAATTTTGAATGACTACTTATTACATAACACCAAAGTAAAGGGACACACACACACACACAGTTGTTTTCTACAAACAAGAAGTGGATAATGGAGATGGATAGGTTAGTCCCTTGTATTCTCTTTACCTGAGGATACAGCCATAGTTAAGTTCTTGAATTGAAGTCATTTTCTCCTATCAGGCTAGGTACTCAAAAATCTAATAGGTGTGACATCAACAATTACTTTTTGCTAACAACTCTTGTAATTTAACCCCTTCAGGTGAGCATGCTGATTGATGAATTGCAGACAGCTATCAAAAGCAACAGAGGTCATCTCGCTAAGCTTGGCCCCCAATTACAGGCTGAGCAGGAGCAGTTCTCCTCTTATGTCTGCCAACACATTAAGAGCCTTCCAGCAAACACCATTATCCCAGGAGGCCTGCATCTCAAGGTGAGTGTCACTCTGTGACTCTCACTAGATCCAAGCAGGGACAGAAGCATTCTATACCATTGAAGATCTGTGTAACACTGATTCTCTGTTGAATGTCTCATCCTGTCCTCAGCAGGGAAATTTGACCTGTAAGGGAAAAGAATATTGTTCAGAAAATAGGTCTTAGAAGAAAATAACTATGCATCTTTGAAATGGGGGGTTATAAAACTTAGGATTAAATGCAGAAAAGTAAATTTAATGAAGAACTTCAGTTAGTGAACATTTGCATACTTCTCAAAGAAGTAAAAATACTGTGTACATTTCATTTCCTAAAAACAATGCATTTGGAAAATGACCAAGCTTTAATAGTTGACAGACAGTGACAATAAGAATCAGAGGTGAAAAGACTGGGTGACTGATTGATGTTCAAACTGCATTTCCAGGGAAAAAGATATGTATTGGATAAGTGTGACACATGTCTGAGTTCACTTGGCAAAATCAATACTTAAGAATATACTGAGGGGGAAAGGTGAATTGGTTATTTGTCAGGACAAGATGGCTAAATGTCCTAGGCTACTCTGCTATTGCAGTGTTAGGTGAGAAAGAATAATCTGCCTTGGCAAAAACAGATGAAATACCGAAAGGGAATGTAAAGATTTGATATTCATGGTAGAATATCCATGCCACCTCTGTCATGTTAAGTTACAGTTAAGTTGCAGTTCTGTAACTTCTTAGTTCACATCTCAAAGGCCTCTGATTAGAGAGATCAGCATTGCTCAGTGTGACCCTTTCTACGTAAAGAGGACTGTTTGGAGAACTCCACTGATAATATTCGCAGTTCACTTCTGCTCAACCTCCATCTTGCACTCTATCCTTTGAATATAGTTTTAGCTGCAAACACCACTTTAAAGAGCATGGAAGCTTGTGATGACATTCCCGTGGGTTCGTTTTAAATGAGACTATTACCATTAAAATTTGACCTTTTGAAAAATGTGACTCAATCTTAAATGCATTGTCTATGCCAGTCAGAAAAGAATTTGGGGAGTGACATCTAAGGCATCAAAGACAAGGGTACCCACAGTCAAGTAATATTGTCTTTTTTGGGTTTTTGACTTGGTTGTGGACCAATCTGTAAAAATACTTGCTATTGGTTAAGAGATAATACAGGCAAGGGATTTTGGTCACCTTAATGACATCTGTGCCCACTCCTTTTAATCCACTACTATACAGACTATAGTGCCTTTGGGAAAAAGAACTTTTTTCCCCTCATAAATTCATTGTTAAGTCTGAAGAATTTCTATCATATTAGCGTATTAGCTTGACAGTAAAATTTTAATTGCAGACTCTGAACTGTTCCTTTCACATATTCCCCCCTTCAGCATTCTTCAAAACTTCTTTCCACACCAGCAAATAGGAAATTTATAAGCAAAGGAAACATGTTGTATAATATTTGTAAGTACCCGCTGTGCTATCTAATATAGTAGCTACAGTCTGCATGAAGCTATTAAAATTAGCTAAATAAAGTACCCAATAACTTCACTGGTGTGTTATAGACTCTTGGCAGAATGACAGAATGGTTATATACCCTAACCAGAATTCTCTCCCAACTGTGTCATGAATTGTCTTGCTTTGATACTCCCATGCTCCACTCCAGGAAGACTGGGCATCATATCCCTCTGCCTCAGCTCTATTCAGTTTCCCCATCTGAAACACTGAATTCATCTACAGCATACATTATTCCTCTAAATCCCGAGAGCTCTGAGTATCAACTCGACTTGTTAGCTTTTTAGGGTAGTAGTTTCCAAGTTTGACTGAATAGAGTTATCTGGAGACTATGTGAGAAATACCAGTGTTCTCCACTCCTGTTGATTTGAGGGGAACTGGTTTAGTGTCCAGAGTCTGGCTTCCAGCAGCTTGTGAAAAACAGTTAAACTGTTGTGAGAGCCACTGTTTAAACACAGTCATTATTAAAAAGTACTTATAAACATTGAACCAATCCTTGAAAAGATACTGGTAACTGTTTCTTTCAAATTATCTGATTACATTTTCCTGTTGCCTATTCTTTCAGTTATTACTATGTTTCATGTGGTATGTGTGTGTGTGTGTGTGTGTGTGTGTGTGTGTGTGTTGTGAATTCTCTGATTGTGCTACAATAAATTTCAACAAATAGGTTTCTTTTCAATAATGGCTTGCTTTGACTTAAAATTGACCAGTCAGTTGCATACACAATAGAAGCTGGTAAGTGATAAAAATAAAGACATGAACTAAGGGTTGGGTGATTGGTTGGGACAGGCCATGGACAAAATTTCCTATTTCCTGTTCGCGTGCTGCCTATGGCTGCCTGTCTAAGACAGTAGCAGAATGGTCTGGTTGAGACAGACTATGTGACTTTAAAACCCTAATGTATTTACTATGTGGCCCTTTCGAGAAAAATAGTAAGCCAAGTTTTGATTTGAGTGCATAATTTAAAAAGTAATATAAAATAAATTTTAAAGTATAAAATTTCTGTATTTGTTGCATTGTAAATAGCACACACAATAAGTATACAAAACTATTTTCTGAGCTAACACAGGAATTGCTCATGACACTAGTTAACAGGAACAGCCACATGGATATAGCTCTCTAGTTTTACTTTTGTCTTGTGTATGGGAACATCAGTTGGTGTTCAGGCCAGAACTGTATTATTTTCTCATTGGTAACTAACTATATGACTAGGCAAAAATCAATGAGCTATGTGGGATTTGCAATAGTAATTACATGTTTTATTATTGTTTGACACTTATGTGCCACATATCCTTATATCATCAGAATGTGTAATTGTCACTCCATCCCTAAACAGATGTTTAAAAATATTATATAAGTTAATTTTTGTCAATGTCACACAATTACATAATGTATATTGATCATTACATCATCTACCTCCTTCCTGTTGAACCTCTTCTGTCTACTTTCATGTCTTTTTGTTTTCCCTCTGTGATTCACTGATTTAACTAGGGCTGCTTGCATGAACATGGATTGGGTTATTGAATGGAGTGTAGACAGCTTACTAGGGGCTATACCCCTGAAGAAAATGTCTATCTCTTCTAGAGCAACCCTCAACTGTCAATAGCTCATCAAATAGGAGTGGTGGCTCATAAACTCCTCCCTCATTCATAACAATGTTGACTGCCCATTCTTATGCAAGTCTTGTGCAGGTGATATGTAATGTCCAGTGCATAGATTTCAAAATATCTTCTCTAAGATCTGATGCCAGGAAAGGGAGACTAACTCTCACCAATTTTATTTGGCACAGCACTAGAAATACTAGTAAGAGCAATTAGACCCAAAAAGAGATAAATTGCAACTAAATCAGAAGGGAAAAAATAAAATTAGCTCAGTTTATAGATGATGTGGTAATAAAAGATAGAAAACCATAAAGAATCCAGAAAAAAATCTATTGGAACCAGCCAATGAATTCAAATTTCTTGATATAAAAAATATGGACATTTCTTTATATTAACAATGAAAGAGCCAACGGGGAGATTAGAAAACAATCTCTTAGCAATAACATCATAAAAAGCAAAATGTTTAGAAACTTTAACCAAAGAGGTGAAATAACTATATATGCTGAAAATGATAAAAGATTGATGAAGAAATCAAAGATGAATGAGGAAAATAATCAATTTCTTTAAAATATCTACTCCAAGTCACCCACAGATTCAATGTAATTGCTATCAAAATTCCAAAGATATTCTTTGAGACCACCAAAAGGCAACCATACAAGTGACAATTCCACAAGACTCTGAATACCCAAAGCAATTTGTTTGTTTGTTTGTTTGTTTGGTTGGTTGGTTGGTTTTTGAGACAGGGTTTCTCTGTGTATCCCTCCTGTCCCAGAACTCAATCTGTAGGTCAGGCTGACATCAAATTCACAGTGATGCATCTGCTTCTGCATCCTGAGTCCTGGGATTAAAGGCATGTGCCACCACACCCAACTCCCAAAGCAGTTTTAAGAAGAAAGAAACTATAGATCTCAAACTTCTTAATAGATTTCAAAATATATTACAAACAGCAGAAAAATCTTTGTTTACAGTACGTCCAACAGAGGATTAGTATGTAGAATATATGAACAGTTTAAAAACTATTCATTAAAAAAAGACACCCACAAACAACCCAGTCAATGCGCTAATTAAATAGCAGAAAATTCTCAAAAATGAAGCACAAATAACCAAAAGACACAAAAACAATCACATTGCTACTATCAGAGAACTGCAAATCAAAATCTCATGGAGATTCCATCTAACCCAGGTAAACTACTGCTTGCTATTTACCCCAAAGACTCCACATCCAGGTGTCACACTCAGGTTACTGCAGTACTATTAATATGCAGCAGCTAAATTATGGAACCAACCTACGTGTCTGTCACCAGAGAAACAATAATGAAAATGTGGCTTATGAATACATTGGCATTGTTCTCATCATAAAGAAGAATGAAGATGTGTCACTTGAAGAAAATGGGTGCAACTCTAAATTAATCTTAGAGGTCAGTCTCAGAAAGACAAATATTATATGCTTTCTCTGATTTGTGGATCCTAGATCTTGTATAGTCATATACAAGCATGCATGTGTATGTAAAACAAAAATGGAAGTGAGATAGTTAAGAAACAAAGCAGCTAAATAGGACTGGGTTGAACAAAGGGAAGGGTGGGGACAATGGATACAGGGAATAAAGTCAATATATAAATAAAATAAAAATAAGATTAAAGTCAATCAACTGAATAATTGATCACACATGTCTTCTGAATCTAGAATCCTGATGATCCTCCCTAAGGACTGGGCGCATGGCATTATTTGGGCCAGTTTTCTTACTATAAATGATGCTTTCTCATCTCTACTGAGCTGTTCATCCTCATCATTCCTTCACTGATACTTTAAAAGAATCATTTAGATTGACCTAAACAGTGGAACCTCTTAAAAAGACACATTATTACAATGTCTCCTGTCTCATTTTTGGAATTACCTGGTTTAGTATAATGCCAACT